CATCACACTAACATCACAGCATGGAAATGGTACTTCATTTATCATTGAGATGAGAAGCTCCTACAAACACACTTCTTCAGCAGAATTCTCAGGTAATTGCAACCATTAAATGGAAGCGTCTATTAATTATGGATCAATGACAAATAAAGTTTTCAAAATTTTTTGATAAAAATAATGATTTGCATTTTTATCTGCATATTTGCATTTATATCTGTGTGTATTTTATATCTTATTATTTTATACCATTTATTGTTTAAACTGTGTTTGAACGATCCGCAGAGCTTCATTTTACTGCAAAGGAGGATTCTTTCATTTTTACATACAAATCTAGTTCTGCTGTGGAGCCGCAACAGGGCAGTAAAAGAGCCGCATGTTGCCGACCCCTGATCTAGATAAACACGTCTGTGGGATTTTAATCTGGCACAAGTAACTGTGCTGAGTACTAATGAGACAAACTTAAAAAACTGAGCCATGAAAATGCCCTGTTTCAGTGTTGCCTGAGAGTTCCCTGCATCAATAAAGGATCAAATGACAGTGTCAAAACACATCTAGAACCCAGTGATGGAAAGAGAGTGAGTGTCTGAGTTCTCAGGCGTGAACCATATCAGGTCATCAGACCTGCAAAACACTGTCACTGACATTTAAGCCTGAAATGCACTAGTTCACTAAGCAAACCTGCTCAAAAATAAACGCTGTGGTTACACCAGCCTTTACTTCCTCATACAGTCACAAAACATGAATCAGGATCAACAGGATTTGTTCTCTGATCTTTAATGATGAATCGAAATGATGTTTTTTATCTACACACTTCTACATAGAACCATTAACACTCAGAGAACCCTTTGCATGATTAAAGGGTTCTCTGCATTGCAAAAGCGTTCTTCAGATTGATGGAGAATGTACTGCAGGTGGTTCTATATAGAACCTTTTTGAAAAGGGTTCTGCATAGCACCAAAAGGGTTCTTCTATTGCTACAAGCTTGACATTGAAACAATACCAGAACCCTTTTTGGTGCTATACAGAACCCTTTTCAAAAGAAAGTTCTATATAGAACCATGAACTCTTAGAGAACCCTTCGCATTGCAAAAGCATTCTTCAGATTGATGGAAAATGTAGATATGTTAATGTTCCATATAGCAGCTTTCTGAAAAGGGTTCTAAAAGGGTAGAAAAAGAACCCTTTCACAACATTAACCCTATATCCCTTTAATCATGCAAAAGTTCTTTGAGTGTTAGTGGGTCTTTAAAGAACCATTTTCTTTGCTAAAGAACTCTTGAAGATTATTTTGAAGTGTGTAAAGCTGAAGGTTAACAATGGGATACAGATGCAGATATTGCAATGTTTACAAAAGATGTTAAGATTATTGTAGAAATGTTTATAATCATACTTAGTGTTCATGCTTATGATGAACTTACTGTTCTTGTTTTTTTTTGGGAACAACGCAATTAAATCTAAATGAAAATGGAGAACAGCTGTACAAATATGACAGAACATTACTGCTCTTTTTTCAGTATATCACTGTGCACGGTTCCCATTAAAATAAGCCAAAATAAATAAACAAACAAACACAAATGCAAGCATTATAAGTACAGTAGGGTCTAAAACTCCACTAACAAGAGGCAAGAACCCTCAACCTCACTGAACAAGCCGAGATGTGTTACAATGTCTCACCATATTCTCTGTGCAGCTCTAAAAGAGAGCTGAAATATTTACCAGTGGGGCAGAAATGCTGCCATTTTCATTTAGTCTTACAGGCGTTCGATCAGGTTGACGTCTGGTGACTATTTTTTTCTAGAAAAGGCAAACCGGTACTGATGGATATCGAGCTGATCTCAGAAGAAAATAGTGAATTGGAAACTGGAGGGGCAAAAAAAGTGTAACCACTGAACGAAATCTAGCAAGAAATAACTCACTTACACTGTGTTATGTCGCATCGAGTATTTCTTCCTATGGGTTAGTAGTATAGATCTACATACCTAGATGCGTCTGCGCGTCCGCCATGCTGGAGCGGTCAAGATCCGCTTGTGAACAAGTTCACTTGTATTGAGAGACGATGAGTCTCAGGATTAAATCGGCCACAACTTCCTTATTACTCGACCGATTTTCACCTACTGTGTTTTGTTCTCCCCGTGTCTGTGTGGGTTTCCTCCGGGTACTCCGGTTTCCTCCCACAGTCCAAAGACATGCAGTGAGGCTGACTGGACATGCTGAATTGCCCCTAGGTGTGAATGTGAGTGTGATTGTATATGTATGTCTGTCTGTCTGCCCTGCGATGGACTGGCGACCTGTCCAGGGTGTATCCTGCCTTCCGCCCAATGACAGCTGGGATAGGCTCCAGCACCCTACCGCGACCCAGAAGGATAAGCGGTTTAGATGATATATGTATGTATGTATGTATGTGTTTTGTTATAATCCTCAGACATAGATTAATCTAGCCTGCACGGATCTGCTCTCGGTAGCTTTTATTTATTTTATTATAACTGATCGTGATATTTAGCCATCCAGACCAGCAGGAAAGTATTCAGTCTGCACCTGATGTTAAAAACCGAGTTTAGCGCTCCGGTAGAAACACAATCTAACAATCAGCAAATCCATCAATGTGTGAATCACTTCTAATCTTATACACATACATATAAAATAACCCCTAAAACATAGTAAGAAGGACAAAGCTGAAGTTCCTATTCGCCAGCTTCTTGTTTGAGTTTTCTTGTTCCACCTTAAATGATTCCGCAGTCACTTTCTGGTGCCTAAAGATGCACAATTTAAGGTGGAACAGGAAAATTCGAACAAGAAACTGACAAATAATAAGATGACTTCAGCTTCGTTTAAGAAGGTGCTAAAGTTAATCTATTATGAATATCTACATGGATTAAGGAATGCTATAACTTACCTACGAAGCATTAACCATCATTGTAGATAGATAACTACTACATCAAGTTAAGACTATTAGTTAGTTAGACTATTAAATCAAATTAGCTTAATATAAACCCAGAGGAAAAACAATGACATCAACAGGTTCTCTGTGCCTCACCAACCACACGACCATATCTACACATAAACATCACACAGACATGAGTGTGGATCACTGCGTTCCCTCCGTTATATAATCCTATCCTGCTTTCTGAGAGCAATATTCTTGAGATAGTATAATTTTGGACAGTATCTTTATTAAACTGACATGCTGTAATGGTACTGAAAGCAGTCCAGCAGCGATGTTGACCACCCCAAAATGGCGGTGCCGTTGACGTGCCTGGCTGGACCCAACACGGCACCTAGGTATGTCTATCTATGGTTAGTAGAGTGTATCTTACTAGAGCTGTCTTAAGTGTTATCCATCTAAATAACTAATAATATGATTCTCCTGACTGATTAATAAAGCATCAGACAAAAAAGTTCATGAGTCATTTAAGCATATTTGATTTTACTCAGCACATAACTAGTCCAACACACCGTTATGGACACACACTGGATTTAGTCATGTCACGAGGTTTACCTATCAATAAACACCGACCAGCTGCTTCATTAAGTACACAACCTTGTTTCTTCGCTCATTGTCCACTTTATCAGCTCCACTTACTATATAGGTGCACTTTGTAGTTCTACAATTACAGACTGTAGTCCATCTGTTTCTCTGCATACTTTGTTAGCCCCCTTTCACCCTGTTCTTTAGTGGTCAGGACCCCCATGGACCCTCACAGAGCAGGTACTATTTGGGTGGTGGATCATTCTCAGCACTGCAGTAACACTGATGTGGTGGTGTGTTAGTGTGTGTTGTGCTGGTACGAGTGGATCAGACACAGCAGTACAGCTGGAGGTTGTAAACACCTCAGTGTCACTGCTGGACTGAGAATAGTCCACCAATCAAAAATATCCAGCCAACAGCGTCCTGCGGGCAGCGTCCTGTGACCACTGATGAAGGACTAGAGGATGACCAACACAAACTGTGCAGCAGCAGATGAGCTATCGTCTCTGACTTTACATCTACAAGGTGGACTGACAAGGTAGGAGTGTCTAATAGAGTGGACAGTGAGTGGACACAGTGTTTAAAAACTCCAGCAGCACTGCTGTGTCTGATCCACTCCACCACCACGTCAGTGTTACTGCAGTGCTGAGAATGATCCACCACCCAAATAGTACTTGCTCTGTGGTGGTCCTGACCACTGAAGAACAGGGTAAAAAGGGTCTAACAAAGTATGCAGAGAAACAGATGGACTACAGTCTGTAACTGTAGAACTACAAAGTGCACCTATATAGTAAGTGGAGCTGATAAAATGGACAATGATTTTGGATGCAAGGTGACTGTACTCACGGAAGTGGCCAGTCGGTGTATATGAACGTTGCCATACTGGTGTAAGTATTGGAAAAAAGTGGTATCACACTAAATTTAGTTTTAAGAGATGAATAGTTGGATAAATGAAGAAATAAACAACACAACAGAACTTTTTAGAGCCTACTGGTCAGACAGAGACCCTGTGAGTGTGGTTAAGATTGTGTGGGGGTGTTGGGGGGTGGTAGGGGTGAGAGGGGGTTGTAGACTACACCTGCTTATTGACAGCTGCTCAGGGCCATGAGAACTGCTGAACTTCTGAACTGATCTCAGTGAAAACAGACACTTTTACGACTCCGTGACGTTACGGACCTTCGCAGTTCATGCACGCGCATCTCTGTGTGTTAACTGCTCACATATAAGACCCTCAGACGAACGAAGCCTTCAGACAACGAGAAAACCACAAACCTCTCAGACAGCCTCACTCATTCACAGGTAAACTGAAGCTACACGGCGGCTTTAACACAGACATAAACTCTACACACAGCGACTAAATGACTCGTTACAACCTGCGCTTCTCAGTTTCCAACACAGTTACAGGCAGAAAGAAGTTTTCAGCGAACCTGCCGCACCAAAGCGAGCCGCCCTGAGAGCAGACAAGGCGCTTCAGCTCTCAGACTCGGTTTAAAGTCCAAACGAGCCAAACGAACCAGTAAAAGCAAGATTCTCTCACCTGTTTTCCGCGGAGCTGAAGTGCGGAGTGTCTCCACATGAGTGAGCGGCGGTAGCGGTCCGCTGCGCGAGCCTCGCCGAGCTCCTCCCTCGAGTGCCCACTGAGGTCGAGGAGAGGTGCGCGTGCGATAGCGACACACCCACAAGTACGTCAGAGCGGAACGACCTACAGCGAACGAGGCAGCGCGCGGTAAAGACCGTCACCACACACACACACACGTTTGTCTTGCTATACAAATGAGGACGTCCATAGGTTTCTTTTGATTTTTGTGTTACTGTAGCTAAATAATACTACACCTAAACCTAAACCTAATCCCAACCTCAGTATCCAAAAGGCAATTTTTCTGCTCTAAACAGGTAATTGTGGTGAAAACAACACATGCTCAAGTGAGGACCAGCAAAATGTCCTCACTTGAGCAAAAAATTCATATAGTCCTATCAAATTGAGGACATGGGGTCCTCACAAGTATAGCAATACAAGAACAGACACACACACACATACATACATACATACATACATACATACATACAGACCGAGTATTTTAAAAGATTCCAGTTTGCTGTTTAATTACAGTTTCAATGATCTTAATTTATGCATGTTTTTATTTCGAGCATCATGAATTCACGTTCTGTTTCTGGTGAACCTGATTTAAAGGGGAATATTTTTTCCAACGAGTTTCAATTTGTTTTTGCATAACTGAATAGTTAGAGTGTAAAGAAAGTCATTCGGAGTGGTTTGGTGTGAAACGCTCTGTTCTAGAGACACATACAGAGTCAGACATGTTCACAGTGGTGGTGATAGGAACCAGACATCTGAAGCATATACCTCTAAAAGTTCCCTCTCAGAGTTTTTTTTTTACATGAAATGGTCTTAAATGTGCTGCCTGATGCTTGAAACATTGTTTTATGATAGATTTTTTACGAAAAATATTTTTGAATATTTACCAGTATTTTATTTTAGTTTTATACATTCTTTACACTCTTTAAAAGATGGTTTGGTATCACTTTAGAATAAGACTACCCTTATAAAGCATTTATAAATGGATTAAAATTAGTTTGTTAATGGTTATTAGATTAAGAAGTAATAAGATGTTAAAAAACTGGAAAAAGCAAAGTCATATCAGATGAATATGAATATGGGGTGAAACTGACAGTTTTAATGCTGACTGATGGAGACAAATTAAGATCAGTAAACATTCAAATCTGAGGCTTAACAGTATCAATGAAGGTGGGTTCACTATTACGCAAACAGGTCACTGTTGCTCTTTTTATTTATGTGTTGTAACTGCTTATTAATTTTAACATATTTATTATCTAATAACCATGAATAAACTTATTTGAAACCATTTATGAAGGCTTTGTCAGAGGAGTCTTATTTTAAATTGGTGATTATTTTAAACTGATGGTTCTTCAAGGGTTCTTAAGTAAAGAAAATGGTTCTATATAGAACCATGAACACTCAAAGAAATCTTTGCATGCTTAGGTTGCTCTTTGCATGGTGAACTGGACTGAGGGAAAATGTGTTCTATATGGTTCTATATAGATTTTTTTTTAAAGTGGTTCTATATAGCACCAAAAATGGGTTCTTTTGTGATGTCAAGCTTGTAACAATAGCAAAACCCTTTTTGGTGCTATAAAGAACCATTTTCAAAAAGGCAAAGAACCCTTGAAGAAGTCTTTTTTAAGAGTGGCAATGAACCATTTCACATCAAACCACTCTGAATGGCTTTGTTTACTCTCAAGCATTGAATTATGCAGAATTCCCTTTTAACTTAATATTTCCCATCATCCTGGAAACGTCCTGCTGGGCCGCACCTAACCCGACCCTAATCTTAACCTCATCGTGTCACCTTTGGATTCTTTTACTTTTACAATTCAAAGCTGAATTTGTGGAAATTTGTAAAAAAAAAAAAACAAAAAAGAGAAATACATTCATTTTTATTCTGTGGACCAATCCAATGTCCCCAACACATCACACACTGTTATGGTTTTGTGTTAGTCATTCTGGGGACATCTGGTCCCCAAAAAGAGCTGAATACAGGTACCTTGTGGAGGGGGGTATTTCCACTGCCGTCTGTGTTGCTGTAGCTGAATGCAGCTGTGCTACAGCTCATAATCTTAAACTCAGGAGCCGAAAGCTAATTCTCAGGCGGTTTTACCTATTATATTAAAAACGGTATCTTTTGATTAAAATGAACTTGTCAGGTGTCTCAGGTGCAGTTTTAAATGGTTAAATCACCTTTAAAGAATATTTTTTGGTCTCTGTGGAAAATCGGTCATCAAAAAAAATGTATCACCTCTTGTGGAGTCCCTCAAGGTTTTGTTTTAGGGCCTTCACTTTTCTTTTTGTACATCATTGTACAGGTCATCAGAAAACATGAGATCAATTTTCATACCTTTGCTATAACTATACATTTCCTTCTGGAAATCAACACAGACTTACCAGCTGTGTGTTTCTCCATAGATGACTCAGAATGTTCTACAGTTAAGACAAAAACTGAAATACTGATTCTTGATTCTAAAATTCAGAGAAAGCTGCTTTATGAGAAATTAGACTCCTTTACTTTATATACCTGAAGTATGAAACCTGTGTGCAATTTAAATTTGTGTGTTGAGAAATGTTGTAAAATTAGGCCCTTTCTGTCCCAGAGTGATGCAGAACTGAATATTGTAATGATCTTCTTACTGGGCTTCCGTAGTAATGAAAACAATCTTGGAGAAGTTATCACACATTTTATGTTTACTGTATGGAGTTAAACCTGAACAACTTTAAGTTTTAGAACCTGAATATTTTGCCATGTTTTTAAACCTGAATTTATAAATCCTGAATTCAGCCCCAATATGTTAAATTACTCAAAATTTGCAATGAAAAAAGTTCAGTCACTTCAAATTGCATATGTTTTTATTTCAAGTGTCAGGAATCTCTGATCCAACTCCATATTTTCCATAACTCGAACCCAAATAAACCTCAATAACCAAAAGATCAGCTTTGGACTTTTACAATTGAAAGTTGAATTTTTTGGGGAAAAAGTCACATTTTCATGGCCTCATGCCATTCTAGGGCCATTACGTCCCTATCAAGAGCTGAATACATGTACATCAGTATGAAAATGAAGCCTGAAGCCGATCCATACTTTTTCAGTACACTTTCAGTGTAATAAAACACAGCACAGGCAAATCCAGTGAGCCTTTAAGGGGGTGATTTTTTGAAGTGTTTTACTCTGTACTGCCTCTTTGTGGCACTTGCTGGAACATTAGAGGTAATTTCCTCATGTGGGTTAGAGGCTGAGAAAGCATGGATGACATCATGATGAATGAAAAGGTGCTCTACCAAAGGAGTAGAGTGAACAAGAGGGCTGTAACACCGACACTCAGGTCAGCCTCCGGATCAAGTTAGGAATTCTCTGTTGGACGCTGTTATTAACATAATAGAACAATTATGGTAATTTTCTAACGTGTGTATCGTCCCTGTCAACAAAACTTGCTTTTACAGAAAAAAGTCAGCTGCTGTTTATAATTTGCTCAAATTTCAATAGAAATGCTCCAAAATTTCTTGAAAATTTTTTTCACAACACCAACAATATATGTTATTGTGATACACTTATTTCACAAATTAATGCTTGAGACAAGCAAAATTATGAATCAGTGAAAGATGCTCATTGACCTCAATAGATTTAGATTAGATGTTTCATTCCAAAATGCTGTGACAGTTTTAGACATGGCAGCTTTTTGATAATAACGAATGACATGCAACGAAAAGAACCCTTTTTATTGTCTAATAAAGCTGGTATGAATTATAATATAGATTGATATTTCTTGTATGTGTAAAGACCACTTACAACAAAGTATATCATAAAAATAAAGAAGATTCTTGATAGTGGTCTATAATGCGTTTTGGGATGAAACCCTTCAAAATATTAACTACATTTTAAATGCTTTCATTTCAGCATAGGCAGTACTTGTGTCATGGTTTCCTTGGCCAAGCATTATTGTAGTGGTAAAGCAATGGTTTTACATAAAACATTGCTGTATAATGACATTTGTGGCTTTTAATGAATCACAATGTATTTAAGTCAATAGACAGACCTAATTGTACTTTAAAAAAGGTGACTGATAGGTAAACTTTCCTGTCCACTTTCTGCACAGTGGTAAACCATTATTTACTATTCCCTGTGGAATCTGAAGTTTCCTTTGAACTGAACATTTTCACTCTCTGTGGTGTTGAATCTCCCTTAAAATGTCTGAACATCCTTTGAAGTCTACTTTGAAAAGAATTATTGAAGTGATTGGATTGCACCTACAGTCTTGTGACTCTTGTTCTTCCCTAACTCCGCCCCTTATTTTCTCCATCTGTTTTGTTTGTAAACCTGCCCCACATCATTGTTCGTAGGTGTTTCTAGTATCGGGTCTTTACTTATAGAACATTGGGCCTCATTCACCAACTGTTCTTAACAAGAAAGTTCTTCTTAAAATCCACTTACACAGTTTTTACGAAGATTCTGACATTCACCAGTGTTTTCTTTTGTGGGATTTGTTCTTAGGTAAGAACAGAATCTACACACACTCAAGAGCACAAAGGTGTGAACAATTCTGTGGTTTAAGAACACGTCATGAATCTCACATAGACTTTTTCTTAGGACCTTTCTTAAGAACACATTTAGAACTTAGGAAGACATTGGTGAATGAGGCCCAGTGTTTCCAAATGCTCCTTAATTGGCATTGTTTCAGTGTGATTTTGTGTTTCAGTCTCTCCTGAGTTTTTGTTTTCTCGTTGGCTCATTTCTTTCTTCTTCTTCTTGTTTTTGGTTTCCCTTTGTATCTCATCTTGCCCCATGATCCCAGATGGTAACACAGATTTGTAATAAACTTTCACAAATGCATCCAATCTGCTATCTTGCATTACAGAATGTATGTTCAGAATGTAGAGGTGAACACTCTGGACGTTCTAGGCCTTCAGAGAAGACTTAAAAAATACACACACAAATACATCTCTAATTTCTTTTAACTTGGTAGAGTGATTGCTCTGTATAAACTCTGCAAGTAATGTAGTAATAGTTTTATTACTCTGTTGTTCAATTTGAGTTAAAATCTTGAAACAAAATCTGTTAAATCCAGATTTTTTCTCTGTGGTGTATGAGAAGATATAGCTAGGCGAGCTCTCCTATTGGTCAGGACTTCAGGAGCAGGACTGAAGGCCTTATATGTTAAATTAACTACCAACATGGGAAGAAACAAATTTTATGAGAAAAAAAGGTCACTGAAGGCCTTCTGGAAGTTCTAGATACGTCACTGACTGTGAATACGAGCGGCAGCCCAACTAAGTTACAGTCAGTTGTTAAAAATGGAAAACAGTGGTGGCAGCTCTGTGTCAGGGCTCTTTACTGAAGGAGTCACTGTAAAAACTGCAACATATGAAGACAAATATAAGTTACTGACTGTTACAAACTTCACATAGTTCATTTTTTAACCCTTGTGTGGTGTTGGGGGGTCTGTGGGAACCATTTTCAATGTTTACCAAAAGAAAAAATGATGTGATTTATTATTTCAACCTCAGATTCCTTGACCGTTGCTCATTTTCTGTGAAGATCATATAAAATAGCACATTTTCAGTGTCTTCACTCTGTTCACCCCCCACACATTTATATTACACGGGGTGTTGGGTGAACCTGCGGGGAGTTAAAGTGTGGAGGTGCTGTGTCCTTCACTCTGTTCTCTTCCTACATGGCCTGCTGTTAGTGTGTGTGTGTGTGTGTGTGTGTGAGGGTGGACAACATGGACAGGCTGCTGACTGGCTACAGCTGCTAAAGGAGAACCCTACACTGGCCTCTTGCGATATTTTAAACATCTGGTATTTTTACATAAATTGATATGGCTGTATTTAAAAAACGAATAATGCGGTGGGTCCACCAAAAACATGAACACCACACAGGGGTTAAATGTCTGTTTAATCTAAAATGGTCAAAAAATGTGCATGTGCACCAGTGTTAGCTGGCTTTTTTATTGTTTTTTGACATGGCCCAAAATTGAAGGCCTAGCTCTGTTAGTCACAGTTCGCCACTGATGTCCACACATCTGGGAAGAGTAGTGCAGCTTAACAAAGAGTTATAAAGGAACACATCATACATACAAAAACAAATGTTCATCTTTATTTCTGGTAGTGTTATTATACCTGATGGCTCCATAAAGTCTCTAATATATTCATACTGTTCTACATAGCTATGTAACATGGCACAGGTCTTGTGCTGCGCTGCACATACCACACGTTTTTACAATAAACTGACAGATTTGTACACGACTCCGTGGCACACACTAATCTCAACAATAAGTACATCAATGAGACTGGACAAGGGGACATTTTGTTACCATTGCACAGTACATTATTAGAGCTTTTGTCTTCCACAGATACGTGATCTTCATCAAAATTGCGCCCAACATACAGTTTAGCTATACCATTTAAACTGTTTTAATGACTGGGGTCATTTTTTTTCAACATGCCATTAAAAAAATGTATGAAAAAAAGAATGTACAACAGAATATGGTCCGATCCTTTAAAGGTGTAGCATAGATGTCAAACACACACTCTTAAAAAAATGAGGAAACAGAAAAAAAACATAAATATGAGTAGTTTATATCCTTCTTTGGCTCACATAAATATGACTATTTCATATCCTTCTTTCAATCTCAGATGAAAGTAAGACTTTGATTCAAGTTACTTCAATGGCACACACAATCAGTCATTTACACACACACACACAACACTCATGCGCACATGCTCACACTCACCCGTGTGCTCACACAAACAGAATTTACCACAGGCTATATCATGGAAGGATATTTCAGTCTGACACATACTGCAGATGGCACAGGCACAGTCCCTCAGCTGAACACGAACCTATCGCTCCAACAGCAACACACATTTATAGGGACAATTTCTCTGTTACTTTCTCACAAGAGCATATAGATAGGTAGATACATGTGACCCAATGGTCTCTCAGGTCAGCCTTCACCCTGCAATAGTCCATACAACCATACATGCACCAACACTTTTACATTGAGGCCTCGTCCACACCTACCTGGATATTTCTGAAAATACATTTCTTCCCTCCATAAAAAGCCCATTTTTAAAAAACTCTTTGTCCTCATAAAGATGCAAACATGATTTAAAAATGCTCACATGAACATGTCAGCCCAGAAGCAGGCTTCAAAACACACTGTCAGAAAAAAGGTCCTGTACGGGTACATTTTTGTTCATCAAGGTACAAACAATGCAAATGTATCCTCCAATGGTCTTAAGGTCCAACTGCCTACCTTAAATAGGTTTTTCTCAGCAGAAAGGTATGTATTTGTACCTCTTCATAATCTTTTTTGGCATTTTTCCCAATGTTCACATCAATTTAGTCATGTCCAATTGCTCCTGCTAGGTCTCTCACAATGCTACCAATGCTGGGAGTGTGAAGGCTAGCACAAGCTCATTACATGAAGCCAGCCACCACATCTTTTGGCAGCTGAACACGCTTGGAGGAGAATGCTAACTGACAATTCTGACACATTACAGTCAACCATGTTGGCTAGCAACACATGAGTGATGGGAGGTGAAGAGGACCATCCTACCCACCCATGAAGAAAGCAAGGCCTATTATACTCTCTTGGAAGCCGGGCCACAGATGGCAGTGGGATTAAACTCGAAACATCCTGTTGACAGTGCCAATAGACAGCTGTGCCACTCGGGACACTATAACCTAATGTTTTAAAAAATAAAATAAAATAAAATGCCTGGAGTCAGGACAGGATGTAAGTGGGTCATTCTCCATTTGGAGTGGGAATTCAGGTGGATACATTAATAAAAAATCTAATTCTTTCATCCCAAAACTAAATAATCTTAATACATCTGTTAACATCTCCTGTTATCATATATGCTAAAAGGGCGTAATTCCGAATATGGTGTAACACCAGTGACTGTGACTGCAGTGACATTCTGGTTAAAGTTAGGTATTTTGTAAATTGGATGACTCATTGGTGGTCAGGTGACCTTGTGCAACTATTTAAAATCAGTAATAAAAATTATAAATTATTATTTTATTATAAAATTATTATTATTATTTTGACAAAATGTTAATTACCCAGCCATTAAAGCACATAACACATAGACACATAGAAGTTATGAGCTGCCTGATTAACAAAATTATTGATAAATTAATGAATAATATAGTGAGCAAGTGTGGTCTTCTCATGCCTCAAGATGCTTCCTCTCTGATGAGCCTCGACCCAAAGAAGCAGTTTAATAGAGCTGAAAATACTGTGTTAAAATGTAACATAAGAGTCCTGATAACAGCAGTGACCAAAATCTCTGTGACAAATGATTTTTTCAAATAAAATACAGATTTTTTAAATGTAGTATAACTTTAAAGATATAAAAAGTAAACGTAATTCTTTTATACAAATTCCTCTTAAAAAAAAAGAAACCTAAAAATAACCTTAAAAATACTGTTCTATATTAAAAATGGTTTCCTAAATGTTGAAAATTGGTTATTTGATAAGCTGTTTTACAGATGCAGCGTGTCTATGAAACAGGATAAAATAAATAAAATCAGAGAAATCATAAGGGAAAAGTATTGTTGAATCTTAGGTCAACTGTCACACGTCCCTCAGGCTCAGAGGCCTCTAGGGACTCCAATTCCCAGAATCCCCAGGGGGATCACATGGTTCTCAGTCCTCCATCTTGCTCCAATCACCGCTCTCTGTCTCCTGAGTATTAACTGGTTACACCTGTTCTGACATAGTTAGTTTAGTATAAAGCCTGGGCTTTTAGTCTAGTTTGTTGTGAGGTATTGCTTCTTTTTCCAAGAGCTACTGAGCGGTATAGTCTTCTGCCTATTGTGATTTTTCCAGTTTTTGACTCTGTTTGCTGTTTTTGACTTTTGCCCTTTTGCCTTTGCCCTTTGGACTCTGTTTGCCTTATGTTTGTCTTTTTGAGTTGCTTGCCTTTACTGGATTTGACCTTTGCCTGTTTTGGGACCACGATTTTGGATTATGACTCTAACATTAAAGCCTCACTTTTTTTTTTTCCACGAGCATCTGAGTTATTCTGCCTCGTTACATCAACTGTGTAAATGGACATACTGACTCTTGGTGCTATGCTTGATATTTTAAGCCCTGCAACCTTTGTGACATGGCTTCCCACTCCAAATGGTGAATGACCCAAGTAGTCAATGCAACTTAAAAAAAAAAAGACAGAACTGCAATTGAATGTGGTACAATTATGTCCCCAAACTAAAGGTACTGAGAACGGTAGTACCTTTTTTCTGAGAGCGTAGGGAAGTGACCACTCATGGATTTACAGATAAAGACCATGAAACTGACATGTAGAAATGTTTTTTTTCTTTCTTGTTCGTATGAATGAGCGTTCTGTGCTTCAAAATGTCCAAAGCACTTCACCTGGTTTTACTTCATTTTCCACACACAGCAGTGAGTCGCCCAGCAAGGCACTGTGCTGGTGTGGCACTACACAGAGAAAACAGCATCAGATGAACAAACACAATATCTGAAAGTGTTAAAGGGAAAACCGAATATGCCTCACTCTTTTTAAATAAAGGAGTTTGAAGTGATATGTATGCAAGTTTCAAAATGTCCCATTGACTACCCTGGCCCTGAATAAAATTAAAGAAAAAATAGGGATATGGGCTTTTAAGAAAATAAGCCGTGACAAAAAACAAATGGGGATTCGTAAGTGTTGACTGATGGTGTAAGGATAAAGTTTAGATGGATTAATTAAACATGTAATCAAAGCTGATAATTACCATATATTTCCAATCATGCAGAAAAAAACAGTCACCATCCATGTCAGATATTGGGTCAGAGTCTTGATGCTAAACACATGCAAAAAACAGCAGTGACCGTGTGCAAGCTGATGTCATGATGTCAACTTTTCAAAACAATGATTCACTTGTCCACAAAAATATGGCAAAAGGACGTCCACCTTGGAGACCGTTTTCCCAAAGTTCAGTTTTCATATGGATGAGAGGCCAAAATGCAGAGAAAAACGATTCAAAAACATCTGTATAATGTGGACGGGGCCTGAAAGACACACACACACTTGCATTTAACCACTCACAAACACACACACACACACTTGTGCCTACACCCAGGAGTCTGGAGATGCGGGGTAGGCCTGAGCTCGGTAGGAAGGCCTGCGTGTGGTAGAGTAGAAGTCCACGTAGTTGGTGTTGCATTTGAGTGCCTGTCTCTCGCTCACCACCGGATATTGGAGCGGCTCGTCCAGGTAAGGGTCATCGTAGCCCATCGGAGACGCCAGATACATTCCGTAAGTGTCGTAGGCCCTGTGATTTGGCTCGTCTGAGTAGTACAGTTGGCTGTGCTGCTTGGAGAAAGGCATGGTGTGAGAGCAGGAGGCACACAAGCAAGTAAAAAGACAGTGAACTAGGATGACACTTAGTGCTCTCAAGGTGTTTTCACACAAGTGTTTTTTTTCGGACCCAGAACCACGTGCCTTGCGAATTTGGTTTGTTTGGTCAAGTGTCACCACTCCTCCTGAAATCAGTGGTCTGCTATCTGCTCCCCGCGCCACGTATGGGGCTGCGTGATTGGTTCATTTTGGAACTTTGCTTTGATTTATAGTGGTACTTTACTGTTCGTACGTGTTCGTATCCAAGGAAAAAAATAAAAAGTAGCAAACAGATGAAGCTCGTGCCTACCATTTTGCAAACCTGCACACAAAAAAAGTAAAAGCAAACCAGTGATAATGATCCCCTCCCTCAAACGAGCCCAGAATCGGTCCTGGGTGCGGATTTAGGACAAGTGAAAACACCCTCAGGATGCACCCTCTGAAGGATTAGGCACAGGGCTAAACGTCTTTGAAAGTGTGGGCTCTATCAGCACTGCTCGTTTTATTTAAGCAACTGTTACAGGGTTTTAACAATTCATAGATAATCAGAGATTGGAGACAAGTATTAAATTAGATGTTGTGGGTAGAGTGAAGACTGTGAAACTTGAAAACTTTATTAGTTGTTGATTTTGTGCCAAAAAAAACTATGGTATACAAAAACTGATTTACCATATCCTAAATTCATTGTGCAAACTTCATGCCTTTAATGAATCGAGTATGTTATTGACTTGACATAATTGGAGACAACTTGAGCATTTTGAGGTGGACCTTTGGGAATTTCTTCCGAGATTCCTTTAAGACTACAACACTGCTGATTTGTACTGGATTAAAATCACACAGCTTATCGGTGATCAATTGAATCACAGTTAAAACTAATCCATCTTAAACAAAGATATAGTAACATACTTGAAGTTCTGTTATATGTACTCAAAATCTTGAGAACCACTGGCTCTGCACATTTCTGTATTTTAGTACACAAGCAAAGCAATGAAATTTTATCAGTGACCAGTTATGGACTGCACTGTTGCATTATTAGAGAGGGTTATTATCAGGTGCGTGTATCTGGACGAGTCTCACCTGTGGCCTCTGAGGTTCCTCGAGTGAAGGGGAGGGGTAGGAGCTTATGAAATAGGCAGAATGCTTTCCTGACCCTAAAACAGAAAAGTATTCCACAACATTTCAGTAACCTCTGATCACCAGCACTAAGTCTAATACAAACCATAGTCTCTCATTTTACAGAGGACTGACAATTTTTGTATCAAAGCTTTATGTCTTGGTTTGCTTATTGATATTCATATTTGACCCTTAAAGCACAACATTCTACCATGCAAGCATAGACACTGCGATAACACTGTGTGCCACTATAGAGGGTGGAGAATTGGTTTTATTTTAGATTAAAGGTATTAGTGGATTGGATCCATCTGAGCAGCAAATAATGTGAAGAGAACAGTGATGGAACAAGCAGCCTCTGCAGCATGTGCTACCATCAAATAGCCTTCCACGAGAAAAACCTGAAACAGTGCCAAAGCACTGTATAGTAAAGGCTCAGTACAAACTCTGTAGGAGTGATGATATTACTCCATGGTAAAAATACCATCTGTATATTTCAGTGAGCACTGCTTGAAAGCCTGTTGTTGTTAAACTCAAAACTCTGGAAGGGCAAAATTGTCTAAGTTCAATTCCCAGTGATGCCACAAAAATCCATGTCTGGAAGTCCATGAAAATGATTGACCATGCTCTTACTGGGGCTTAAACCTTCTCTCCTTGTCAATTCAGAGCAACCCTAGTCAATTATGGGTGTCTATTAGTGCACATATACAGAATTAGGCAGTTAGTGCTCTCGATTGAGCACATTCAACTGTTCTGTAATGTACGTGTGGCAGCTTGGAAAGTCAGAGTGGCTGGCTACATGTGTTATGGAGGAAACTTGTCTTTTCCCTCCCAAGTTATTATTGTGTGATAGGGCAGACCTAGAAAGCATTTGGGAACTGGCAACAACTAACAGTGTGTACATTAAAAGGGAAAAAAATCAGCTTACAATGTATTAGTTCTGACTGATCAGCTGATGGGAGAGATTCTTTCAAGAGTTCTTTCACCAATGAAATCCAACAGAATTTACATATTTACATATACAAGATGCTGTAGGGTTCTAGTGTAGGTAAATGTGAAATTGTATTTACAGTTCAGTTACAGTTTTAATTCACCATTATACTCCTCAGACTCACCTGTGTACAGATTTTTGTTTCTGTTGGTGTCTCCGTAATAGTTATAAAGTTGCATAGAAGACTGAGCCCTCCGCTTACTCAACCGATGTTCTCTTATTCCCAACATAGCCGGAGAAGAAGTGGCACTACCGCCTAACCGTGATAAATACAATACGTTAAATCATGAGCGATTAATGCATAGAAGTGGACAAATGACATAAACAGTAAGACGTAAACATATAATAAGAACATCTAGACAAATTGTACTAAAGGTGACCATTGTGGGTTGTGTGTCATTCCCTGAGACATTACCCACAGTCCTTTGCTGCTACCCCTAGCTCACCTGACTGGATGACAGGTGACATCTGTAAGTTGCTCGTTGGCAGCGTGGGCTGGGACCGGTACCGGTCTCGCTCCAGTGTTGACACTGGTGTGAGAAAATGGTTCTGATTCCACCCATCCTGATGATGCACAGAAGACAGAAATTAATGAGAGAGCCAATGAGAAGCTGGTGTCTGGAAGCACCTTTGGGGATCACTTGCCTTTTTATAGATATTGCGCAGATCTCTGTACTGCCACAAAGTGTTCAGCACCTGCGCAGCAGCCTTGACCACTTTCATTGAATACCTAAAGAGAGGAGAGAAGGGTAGCCCAGTTTAGAGCAGAGAAAACGCTAAGATGGGCAGATTTTAGAAAAACTGAATTAGGGTATATCTATACTTTATCTCCAATGCAAATGTATATATTTGATTTTCAAGTTGTTACCTTCCCTCGTGGACCATCTTACCTCTCCCCACGGCCACGGCTTATGGAGACCAGCTTGTCGATACCACCCGCCTGGGCGAGGGCACGGGCATTTTCCATATTCCTGCTGGTGACCTCATGCAATGCACAGCACACTGCCGCCACCGTCTCATCAGACAGCAGCGAGGGCCCATGACCTGGGAGACGAGTCACCAGATCTGGCATGGCGTACTTCCCTATAGGAGCGTAGAAAAAATTGGCTTTATCTTCAGTGTGGGAAAGGAAAAATTTAGCATATGCTTATAACAGTTATTCCTTTAGGCACAACTATTTTAAAACCAGCAAAAAAGTTCCAGAGATGTTAAATGAACATGTTTTTTTTGGAGGAACCTCATGATAACATTAAAGTCCTTTAATCATCATATGCTCTATCTAACTGCACCTTTAATATGTAAATGTTTACAAAACTTGAGAAACTGACCAATCAGCTCCTTGTTCCTGGCGTCCAGAGCCATGTTGCGTAGTGCAGTTGCCACTGAGCAGACCACCCTGTCATTATCCATCCTTAGCAACTCCACCAAGATGGGCAAACCTTTCTCCTTTCGCACTGCCGCTCGAATGTAAGCTGCAAACTGACCACACATTCGCACAGAGTGAGAAAGAAAGAGGGTGGACTTCTAAAAGGTGCAGTTGAGAAACGCTTCTGGTCATTCAGAGTGTGAAACTTAAGCCACTCACATAATTCAGTTCTATACTGTGGACTGTGACTGTAATGTGTCAGCATACAGCAGTGGAACTGCATGTAGCCTACCCTCCAGCTCCCAGCCGAGAGGTTCTGCAGTGACCCAGCTGCTCCCTCCAGTGTGGCCGGATTGGAACTCTCTGCCAGCAGGGTGAGGTAAGGTTTAACCACTGATGGATGCCACAGCATCTCCGCCCCCTTCGGGCTGCCAGAGAACCCTGGGATAGGCCCAACTCCGTCCCACTGTGCAGAGAAATTACACAGACCATAGAGTTAGAACCTAAAGAACCTATTTTTACTATAACACTTGACTGAATGGCAGGCGTGATTCAGGGTTGAGGTTGTACGATCAGAATCCAGGATTTTCGCTTTTAATGTGATCAGCAAACAGCTGATTTATTTTTATTGTCGTCAGTTTGTTTCACTATTTTAAGATGAAAATAATGTGAGCCAGGCAAGTACACGCCCACTGCATGTCTGTGATTAATTTC